TTTCGATTTTAACAACGTGTTATTAAATATTGGAATACCTAAGATTAATGAATGTTCAGAAGATTTTTTCATTGGCAGTTTATGTTAACTAATGAAGCCCTAATGTAAAGTGTGACTGAACAATGAAGAATCAAAACACTTTCAAACAATATCTAGGGCATGTTGTAGTCCAGATTAAAATGTAAAGAAAGTTTGAAAATAAATAGCCTATTAAGTCTAAATATTTAAGTATTTGGTGCTGTGATGAACATCATAGCAATTACACAAATCTGAATGGCTGTTTAAATCATTTAAGCATGATTCAGAAACAGAAAGTAGTGCAGCTGCTTTGTTTACAGGGTTTCCGGGGTAACAGCTGCATTTAAATGAATTATTATTATTATTATTATTATTATTATTTCAGCAGTTTAGCGCCATCTGCTGTCAGAGAGTGAAAGTGCGCTTTCATCCAGAGCGTCTCTCACATGTTCCGCCATGTGCTTCTCGTCCGCGCTTATTTACATCAGAGTGCGCAGGTGTCTTTGCAGCATACAGCGGTGTTGTGCATTTTGACCAGTTTATGGGAAAAGTATTCTTAAAATGCATTCAAAATTCTAAATAATTTGTAATATATAATTATTCACGGTATTTAGAAGTGCCCACGATAACAATATCGTGCATATTCATTACCTTGATATATCGCATTACCGAATACCTGCACAAGTCTAGTCACAATGCAGGGTTACTTTCACCACTCTTTAAACTGTGCAAGAGCTTTCTGATAGATGATTCTGCTTAGTGCAATCCTTAATTAGCATGCTAAGGTTCTTTCAGATGTTTTAACACACTGTGACAGTGGTGCCCAAGCCTGTTCCTGGAGGCTCCTAAACACAGTACACATTTTGGATGTGGGAATCTCTACTAACAGGTTGATGAGTTGAATCAAGTGTGTATGATAAGGTAGATGTCCAAAATCTGTGCTGCTGACAGGCCTCCAGCAACACGGCTAAAGTTTGTACTACTGTGCTAAAGTGATTGTGTCTGTTAAAACTAGAGATGAATGTACAAGTGGATAGTTCCACTCAATAATATGCCTTGTCGTTAATAGGGCGAAAGATGAGGGTGTACTCTCCAGACACTCTGAGTGATGAGTCTCTTAGCAGCCCAGGTGTGGAGTGTGATTACCTGCTTCCAACATCCTTCGAATCATTCGTAGAAGGAGGCCTTGGTATGGTGGGTTCTACCATACCCACATCCCATAGTTCCAGCTCTCTCCCAGGGGTAGATGAGGACCTCTCTCTTCTTACCATACCAATGCCTCCAAAACCTTTCTTAGACCCCCCTCAGGAGGATGCCAGATCGGAGGGGGGCGTAAATGATGGGGGGAGGCAGAGGTTGGGCTTGGAGGACTGTGGTTCTCTGGAAGGCCCTGCCCTTAACGGTGGGACCTCACTGCCTCTGTCCCGTTCTCGCTCAGCAGACGAGCGCCGGCGCTTCTCTGCCTCTGAGCTCATCTCTCGTCTACAACTCTCCCAGAGGAAAAACTCTTTTACCCTTAAGCTGGGCAAGTCTCTTTCTGCTCGTGTGGCCTCCCGGGACCGCCACCTGTCTGGAAACCTCAGCTCAGACTGTAAGTGACTCATCAGGACTGATTTGACTAATGAAAGGCTTTATTGTGAAAGTCTTGTGCTGTGATGTCATGATCACACTTCAGTGTTATATTTTCAGCTCTATTCCTTTTGTATACCTTCTCCCTCCCTTGTCTGTTTGTAGACAAACCCAACTCCAGACATCGCTTCTCAGGGGGATCAGGTGACAGTGCACCACATAGTCCAGTGGGGTCTGCACCACCTCTGCCCTCTGCTGACTGTAATCTGCCACAGCAAAAGAGGAGTTCCAAGCAACGGTGGCTCTAAAACTCAGCTAGAGAACAGAAGTAGTGAGAAGAATATAATACATTCTGTTTTAACATTTAACATTTGTACCGTTTTTTCACAGTATGAGAAAGGTTTCCATTGATGAGGATGGAGACAGTCCTCCCAGTAGCTCTAAACGCCTATCACGCTTCTTGCCGAACTGTAAGTCCAATAAACAACAAATCTGGAATTTTATATATATATATATATATAAAATTCCAGATTTGTTGTTTATTGGACTTACAGTTCGGCAAGAAGCGTGATAGGCGTTTAGAGCTACTGGGAGGACTGTCTCCATCCTCATCAATGGAAACCTTTCTCATACTGTGAAAAAACGGTACAAATGTTAAATGTTAAAACAGAATGTATTATATTCTTCTCACTACTTCTGTTCTCTAGCTGAGTTTTAGAGCCACCGTTGCTTGGAACTCCTCTTTTGCTGTGGCAGATTACAGTCAGCAGAGGGCAGGGGGATCAGGTGACAGTGCACCACATAGTCCGGTGGGGTCTGCACCACCTCTGCCCTCTGCTGACTGTAATCTGCCACAGCAAAGGAGAAGTACCAAGCAAAGGTGGCTCTAAAACTCAGCTAAAGATCAAAAGCAGTGAGTAGAATATAACACGTTGTGTTTTAACATTTAACATTTCTACCGTTCTTTCACAGTATGAGAAAGGTTTCCATTGATGAGGATGGAGACAGTCCTCCCAGTAGCTCTAAACGCCTATCACGCTTCTTGCCGAACTGTAAGTCCAATAAACAACAAATCTGGAATTTTATATATATATATATATATATATATATATACATAGATAGATAGTATAGTATTATTTACCAGTTTTCTCTTCCTCTCTCTCTCAGTGATTTTGTATCAGGAATACAGTGATGTTGCTATTAACAGAGAGATAAAGAGGCAGCAGGGGGCGGAGCCAGGAACCGATGAAGAAAGAGGAGACTCTGTGTCCTCTTGCAACCTGTCCCCATCCAGTTCATTCCGCTCATCTCAAGGCTCCGCCTTTTCCCTTTGGCAGGATATTCCTGATGTTCGGTCCAGTGGACAACTTGACAACTTCAGCAATGAAGAGCGTAAACTGCAGGAGGTGACTCCATATTCAGAAAGTCTGTTTTTTTTTTTTTTTAAATCAACCAGCACATTTTGCTGAGAAAAAAGCAAATGTTTTCTCATTTCAGGCCAAGTTTGAGTTGGTGACGTCAGAGGCCTCATACATACGCAGCTTGTCTATTGTAGTTGACCATTTTATGATGTCTCCTGAGCTGTGTGAGTGTCTTGGGACACAGGAGAGGCAGTGGCTTTTCTCTAAACTGCCTGATGTGAAAGAAGTCAGTGAGAGGTGAATAATGAAAATTTTTGCTGTTTTTGAAGGAGTTAGCCTTCATCAGAGACGTAAACTATCCCTGTTTTTTTTCTCTCTCCCATTCAATTCTCCTCATGTCCACAGATTTCTTCAAGATTTGGAGCATAGGTTAGAAGGGGACATTCTGCGTTTTGATGTGTGTGACATTGTCCTTGACCACTGTCTTGCACTGCGGCGGGTTTATCTGCCTTATGTCACCAATCAAGCCTATCAGGAACAGACCTATCAGCGGCTACTGTAAACAGTCTTTTACCGTAAAACAGTTATCTAACAAGCATAACAATGTGTGTGTTGCATATTGCATTATTGCCATTAAAGAGGTTTATTCGTTTGCTTTATTGTGTGTTGTTAGGCAAGAGAATCCCCGTTTCCCTGGAATCCTTGCCCGCCTGGAAGAGGACCCAGTATGCCAGAGGCTGCCTCTTACATCATTCCTTATCCTTCCTTTTCAAAGGATCACACGCCTCAAAATGCTAGTGGAGGTATTCCACCATGCTCTTCTAAAAGTGACAGTGATAGAGGGCACAGATTCCATTTTTTCTATTTTCCGAAGCTATCTTAAAAGTTGAAAATTATCATCAAGCTTTAGAACAAGGCTTACAAAATTAAATTAAATTAAATTATCTTGTGGTAATGAACTGTGTCCATTATAGAATATCCTAAAGAGAACAACGCCTGTATCACGAGATGAGGACACTGCCACCAAAGCACTTAATGAGCTTAAAAAGGTGAGTAAAGTAAGAGAGGACCAGGTTTTAGAAAAATATGAAAATTAAAACTAAATCTGCTCTGTTTCACTAGATTATAAAGGAATGTAACTCCAGTGTGCAGTCCATGAAGAGGATGGAAGAACTAATTCATCTAAACAAGAAAATTCACTTTGAGGGCAAGGTATAACATTGGACATTCATTTTAATGTTTAATTAGATATGTATTATATATCATGCAGGGGCATCTGAAACCAATTTTTTTATTTTTATTATTGAGGTGCCAGTGGCAGCCCTGGCTCATTTTGTGCCATTCACAAATTTTTTTTTGGACTACTTTGTTCTTTCCAAAAGTAAAGTTTTATTAACTGAAAGTTGCATTTAAATTTAATCAAAGACTTTACTTACAATAATTATCAAGTATACAGTACAAAATAAATAATTGGTTTTAGAAGTTGCATTCAATCAGTTTGATTGAGCATGACACTTCTGGCATCATGTTTTCATATTACTGGCTTGTCAGTTTGTGTTTTTTTTTGTTTCATTTTAGATTTTTCCTCTCATCTCTCAGTCTCGCTGGCTGGTCAAACATGGTGAACTGCTAGAAGTGGACACACAGAACTTGAATATTTCTGGGTCTAAGTTTAAACTTACCACTCGGCCTGTGTACCTTCACCTGTTTAATGACTGTCTTCTGTTGTCCAGAAGGAAGGAGTAAGTCTAATGGGAAAGAGAGAAAAAAGAAAAAGAGAAAACAAGCAAATGTGTCCTTTAATGTCCAGTGTAATATCTGGATTCTGAAACAAACCCAGTTTAAAACCTTGTGTAAATGATAATAAGTCTGCTACAAAACCTGTGCCTTCTCTACAGCACGTGGAAGTTCATGGTGTTTGTACATGCAAAGATTGAAGACCTCAAGGTGAAAGATCTAAGCCAGAAACTTCAGGGAATCTCAGGCTTCATCTTCTATCTGCAGTTATGTGAGGGACAACAGCTAAAACACCAGATCCTGCTCAAGTCACCCACAGAGTGAGGACATTCACATCATTCGAAAATATTAACATCCAAAATGAAAATAATTTTCCTTGAAAATAACAAGCCACACATTAACATATTGAAAATATGTACTCACAGGATGCATAAAACTAAGTTTAAAACTACGTCAAGAACATTCTGTTTTATATGTAGGAGCAGCAAACAGAGGTGGATAACAGCTATGTTTCCCTCCGATTCAAAGACAGCTATTGCGCAGACCAATGAAAATGATGGTATGTAAATTCTTTGTCTCACTCTTGTCATGCATTTCAGATTTAACTACATTTTAAACTCAAAGCTGCTATTTAAATGGTATGTAAAAAGTGAATTGTGGCTGGTAGCATTAGGTGGATAATCGCCAAGTTAAGCTGCAGCGTGTACCAGATAGTCCAGATACTTTATGATGAAAGTCAAAAGTTTGGCTATGTTAAACTAAGCAGTTTGGACTGTTCTGCCTGACATACAAAGTCATCAGTTATTTCACTGACATAACATTGAAAACATAGTGGAATACACAGTTCTGCTCAAGACTATTCTGTTTACTTGTGAACTAAGTGCCTCAAATAAAACTCTAAAAGGAATAGTTCACCCAAAAATGGAAATTGTCTCATTACTTACTCACTCTTGTGTCTTTCCAAACCTCTGTAGCGTCTGGACCAATCAGACACACAATTTGTTTTAGTTATATTTAACAAATACTCTTTAACACCCCTCAGTCAACAATCCAACTATGAGCAGGCCTCTGGTTCCATGGCAACCAATGCTGATAACCCTGGTTTTATTTGCTTAAAGGAATGCGGGCAGAGCAACTCTCAATTCATTTACCCTTAGGAAAGACACACAATGCCCATAAAAATGGACTCTTCTCTAATTAATTCATAGAAAAACCTTTCTGTGAATGAACACACATCTCCTCGGGACATTATGTATACCATTACTGTTGTTGTATATTGTCTTTTGAATGGTATACTGTTTTGTGTGTGTGTGTTATGATAGATCACTAGTTAATATAACCCCACCGATACCATGTTTTGTCTCTTTGAATTTGTCTTCTGATGATCTAAACGAGAGTATATATTATATGTTGGTACATAGGCAATATATTAGTGTTCTACGAATCTTTAGTAGTTTTTGCATTAACACCCAATCAAATTACATATGCAAAATACCATGCTCTAAGACAAAGAGTCATAAATTTTCCCTCCAAAAGTGAAAGCCACCATTGGCTCTGTGACCTCCCGGAGGTGTAAGCTCAATAGGAGATAAAGCTCTCACATCAATGACCCGCCCCAGTCAGTCTGCGGTTCTGTTCGATTCTGAGAACATGAAGATGTGAGCTAGAACGCTTCTGCAACCCTTAAGTCTGCACCACTACAGTTACTACTGGCAGTTGATATAAATAATTGTAATTAATCATAATTAACTGTAATTATTTATATACATTTCCCTTTTGAGCTAATTTGCTACACCTCTATTACCATATTTCTTCTGTTGAACAAAAACATATTTTGAAGCGTCTTTAGATGGAACATACCATTTTTAAAAAAAGTGAATTTTGTGTTCCACAGCATAGCATGCAGGTTTAAACAACAAAAGATTGATCATCAGTTCTCATTATTACCCCTAACGTTTTGTGTACAGTCTGCCTTGTGATGCTAAGACTTATGTTTTCATAGAAAATCTGAAAAACTTAATGTCTGCATTTGTCTGTACAGATCTATCTCAAGTCCAGTGCATAAAGAGCTACCAGTCTCAGGAGCATGATGAGTTAACGCTGGAGAAGGCAGACATCCTTCAAGCTGTAACAATTACAAGTGATGGTAAGGAAAATCATTTCCCTTCCTCTGGCTACACTCCATTATTCCCTTTGAAGAAGAGAAGCTGAAGGACTGCAAAGTAGAGATAAATGACCATTTATGTTTTCAATTCTCAGGGTGGGTAGAGGGGATCCGGTTGTCGGATGGAGAGAGGGGCTGGTTCCCCAAAACGTACGTGGAGGAGATCACAAGCCGCAGTGCTCGTTTGCGAAACCTCCGTGAAAACATTCGCATTAAATGTGTCTCACAAAAATTAGAGGGAGAGACTCTCTGAGACCTTGAAGTATGGGACATTGTTTTACCTAAAGCTTGTTGTATCATCTGGTTTACCAAACCAGAGAAAATTTGTGAGTCACTGCAAATTTGTGTGAATATTTCAGATTTCCATGGCTAACATTTTAGCTGTAGTAAGGTATGCTGTAAAAATCTAAAATTTATTGCAGATAGGATGAATAAAACTATGCATCGCATCTATGGAGGACTAGAGGTGCCACATAAAAAAAATTAAATTAATGCATTGAATAAAAAAAAAATGCATATAAATCACTTTGCAAAGTTTTACAAATATATTTCAAAATAGTAAATTAATTATTACAATAATGTTTGAATATTAAGATAAAATAACATGATGCATTTAAATTTTACAAATGAATTTTGACATTCATTGACATTATTGTTTCCTTGACAAATGAAAAAATGGTTTTACATACACTGCCGTTCAAAAGTGTTAGTAAAAATTAGTAAGATTTGTAATGGTTTTTTAAAGAAGTCTCTTCTGCTCATCAAGGCTGCATTTATTTGATCAGAAATACAGAAAAAACAGTAATATTGTGAAATATTATTGCAATTTAAAATAATGGTTTTCTATTTTAATATACTTTAAAATGTAATTTATTCCTGTGATGCAAAGCTGAATGTTCATCAGCATCATTACTCCAGTCTTCAGTGTCACGTGATCCTTCAGAAATCATTCTTAAATGCTGATTTATTACAGTTTTGCTGCTTAATGGTTTTTTTTGGAACCTGTGATACTTTTTTCAGGATTCTTTGATGAATAAAAAGTTAAAAAGGAACAGCATTTATTCAAAATAGAAATCGTTTGTTACAATATACACTACCATTCAAAAGTTTTCAATGGTATTATTTTTCTTTTCTTTTCTTTTTTTTTTGAAAGAAATTAATGCTTTTATTCAGCAAGGATGTTAAATTGATAAAAAGTGATAATAAAGACATTTTTGGAAAGGATTTTAAATAAATGTTGTTCTTTTTAACATTATTCATCAAAGAATCCTGAAAAGAGTATCACAGGTTCCAAAAAACAACAACTGTTTCCAACATTGATAATAAATCAGCATATTGGGATGGTTTCTGAAAGATCATGACATTGAAGACTGGAGTAATGATGATGAAAATTCAGCTTTGCATCACAGAAATTTTAAAGTATATTAAAGGGGTCATAGGATGTCCATTTCCCACAAGTTTATATGATTCTTTAGGGTCTTAACCCTCTGGGGTCCGAGGGTGTTTTGGGGCCTGGAAAAGTTTTGACATGCCCTGACATTTGTGCTTTTTTCAGTTGCTTACAAACATTTGAATGTCTAAAGTTTAATAACACTGTAATCAGCACAAACTGGGCTAAAATAATATGTGAGCAGCATGTATTTATGTGATTGTGTTTTTGAGAAAACAACGTTTATGCGTGCTTAGTGAAAAACTACTTTTTTTTTAAATTTTAAAGTCACTGAAATAAGGTCATAAAACACATACAGAACATTTGATCACAAGACTTTTGAGAACTGGATCTTGAAGTCTAGAGTTTTTGCTTCAAAATTATGTGAAAATCATCTTACTCATTCACAGAAAACAATATATTGATTTAAATTTTCTAAGACACTTTTTGTGTAGAAAAGGTATATGCGAGGAGGCATAAATGATCATGCATAATGCTGTGATTCACACCTGAGAAGACAAAGGCCTGCATAATGAGCTGCATAATGAGCTGTCAGGTGTGTGACTGAGGGAATTGCTACAAGAAAGAATGTGAGGAAAAAAGAAATTTATATATTTTTTGTTTGTAGTTTATTTAGAATACATATAACTATCACATAAAATAACTCATGGGAGTGTGTGCATCACATGGTCTTAGCTGTGGTCCAGGTTCTTGTGCAGGCAGGAATCTCAGAGCCTGTGGAACATGTCAACGTCAGTCTCTGGTTTCCATGACCAAGTGGGCTGCTTTGCTTTGGCTCTCTTTGCAACAGGTTCTTTTACACTGTTATTCTCACATCTGAAATAAAAAAGCAAGCATGCTGTTTACACAAACTACATTATTAACATTATTATGATGTTTTGTAGCATTTTCCTTTAAATGTTAATGAGCTCTGCTGACCCCGCCCCTCTCTTCCGAGCTGCTCTCAGAGAGACCAGCGGGGGCGCATTCCCTTCAGAAACAATGTAATCCACTGCTAGTTCAGCGGCTCAGATGTCGGGAGTAAATGATGACTGCTATGTTCATTATTACATCCAACAATAGAACACCTCAATCGCTTAGGAGTCATTCTTGTCTACATCTGCTCCAGCGGTGAAACAATGGCGGACTGATGACAGCTCACTCAGAGCGGGTCTAAGGTAAGACACCAGTCCAGTCTGTGCTGAAACGCTACTGTCAATCAAACTATCGTGGGAGGGGCCTGTCTTTGTGACGTCACACAGACAGGCATCTGAGATCGGCTCGATTTGAGAAAGGGGAAAACATTTAACCAGATTAAAAAAAAAAAAAAACACTGGGTGGATTTTTATCATTATAGGGTGGTTGTGTACACACACTGCCAACACACATTTCAGTTCAAACAACTTGTAAATGTGCATATAGCATGACCCCTTTAAAATAGAAAACCATTATTTTAAATGTTAATAATAATTTACAATATTACTGTTTTTCTGTATTTTTGGTGAAATAACTGCAGCCTTGATGAACAGAAGAGACTTCTTTAAAACACATTCAAAATCTTACTGATCCCAAACTTTTGAACAGCAGTGTATCTATTTTAATTTTAATGAATTATTGATTTCCTCTTTATTTGATGCTACTAGTCCTCCTTAATCAGTTTTGCACTTCAGGTTTTAAGTATCGGTAGCTCTTCAAGCGGTATTACCTTGGTTCTTTTCTACTGCTCGCTTGCAAAGAAATGCATGTGTTGTTACTGCATGTAGCATATGGTGCTGCGCTTTTTGACAGTCCACAGACGCACACTACTCAAAATACAGCGGTCCCATGCAGGCTCACTATGTGGGTGGATGAAATTTGGATATGTCAGCTGTTAAAATGTTTAGCAAAATAACAAGATCCAATTTAAATGGCTTAGTTTTAGGTGGCATAGCAGCTCAAGTGTTTCACTCTCAAGTGTTTTTATGAGGACTTAAAGTGAGATGTCTAAATAAAGTGAGATGTCTTGTCGTTAGCAGATTCACTGAACAGTCACACAGTAAAGCTCAATGCTCGCTTTTACTAGTGAAAAATTGGACCCAGATTTGGAACTGTTTGAGTTGCTGTTGCAACGTAAATATTAGTTTATGCCACTAGTCTTCTGTAGATAATCATTTACTTAATAGTGCTGGCATAATAACAGGAAGTGTTCTTTCAAATTATGACCATTATTTATGTCAGTGATACTGATGTTTGTGTATTTGTTGTTTTGGCGAAGCAGTTTTTTTGGGCAGTTTCTGTGTGGAGTACTGATATCCTGAGCATGTTAAATCACATTTGAAATATAATCCTTAATGGTGACTTTGTAAATAAATAAATAAATGCATATATTCTAGCTGAAAGTGTCTCACATGTCTGTCTGAGACCAATACAAAAAAAAGTTGAGCTTTCAGGGTGTGTAAAGTTAACCTTACTGTAACCAGGATTCCCAGCCACGTATGCACACAGCTACAACAAAGCATGCCTCATAAACATGTTTCATTCCAGGCTCACCTCATATCCCATGGAGCAATAAAGCAGCTGGGTAGCAGGTAAATAGAATAGTTTCTTTGTTACAGCTGTTCTAAGAACCTTGAATGGTTTCCAACTGCTGTAAATCAGAGGTGAAAGACTGCTGAAAAGGAGCTGCAGTTAGAGACAGATAAGAGACGGGCTGCAGAGGCCCAGGAATGCATTTCTAATTAAAGCTATTTATCACAGTGAAACATTTCGTATCAATTTTATATAATGCACTGTACTTAAAATTGTAGTAGCAAAGTAGCAAAATGCACTCGTGCAGGTTAGTTACTTCTGCTACAGGCTTGCAGCAATTATTAGCTACTGTATCTATCTAGCTTTTTTAGCAATTGAAACAGAAGTAGTAACAACTTTTCTTCCATATTGTGACATACCTTTGAGTGAAACTGAAGATCAAAAAAGAAAAAAAAACTACTAGTTTCCGATGTGTAGTAGGGAAAAGGTGTGCAAGGGAGATTACAATTACATTTTTCATTCAGGAGGGAAGGGTCATTTTTTTATACCTCCACAGAGTCTGTCATATTCAACCCACTTAGTCCGGAGTTTAATGAACATATTTTTCTGAAGACGAAGGGAAAAAGTAATCTTTTCCATAACATAAATATAATTTACTAAATTCATCCACTCTTGTATTGTGGGGGGCCCAGGAAGCAGCCAAACGCCTTGTGAGTGCTTTTTTACTGGCAGATGTTAAAATGGCAAATAAATATTCCTCAGGCCATCTTGCCTGGAAATCAGCATTTCCTAAAAAAAAAATATGGAAAAGTGCAAAGGCAGAGCAGTAGTCTTTTTTTTCCCACTGCTACTCTGATGAGTCCAATGTCCAGTCTTCAGCAAAGTCTCTGTATGATCTTCAGACAAAACAACACGAAAGTTATTGAATGGATTTTTGCATCTTAAGGGACATTTTTAGCAATAACACACTATCAGTGCCAGTGGCTAAAAGAAAATAAGGCTGAATCTTCTCAAAGTATCTGTGTATCGAAATGAAATGTTATAATTTGCACTGCTACCGTGTCCTAAGGACACCTACTTTAGAGCTGATCATAAAAGGCCTAAATTCATAACTCTGCTATCTTTAAATTCTTTGCATGATAACCATATTTCCAGGGTCTGGCATATTGCATGTCCACCATTTTTCATTTGAATCTGTCTTTTTGAATTACAACAGCAGTACGTCAGTATGTCTTTCTGGCAACACACCAAAGATGTGTCCGGGGTGGGTACAAATTTTGGCTGATAGTCAGAAGGTTGAAAGTTCAAGTCCTGCCTGGGGTGATCCTGAAGTTGTACCTCCGCATCTCACTGAGTGCTTATAGACGAAAGGGTTTACTGTTGCCAAGTAATTGCTACATGCAGGTATATTTTATTCTTTCCTTACCTTCTAATACTGAATAATATCAAACACCACAAGTTGCCAGAAAAATACAGAATCCTTAACAAGGAGAACAGACACAATGATTTACATCTCTATTGTACCCTGC